GAGACTAGGCGCCAAATCCCCTAGCCGGCCAGAGCCAGATCCCCTTCCATTAGTCGACAGCAGGTTAGCCTAGCCAGAGCTAGATCGGGTACCCCTACCTCAGCACCTATCGACGACTATATAGGCCAGATCTGGATCCCCTACCTCGGCACCTGTCATGACCTGTCGGATTTGAACCCTAGTCAGAGCCAGATCTAGTACACCTTCATCAACACAGGCCGCACCAGTTCCGCGACCACGATGACAAGACCGCGGTGCCGACGACGAAGCGTAGCTAGGGTACGCGGAGGAAGAGGTACCCAAATTCCTTTTATGATAGTGTGCTGTATTGTAGTGGTTGAACCTGGGATATGTAGATAGCGATGGGGTTACATATTTCCTATAGCGAGTGTAGATGACATGTGCTTTATTGGATTAATGACTCCCGTATAAGCTGTAGTTACTAGTTAGGCGCTTATTTGCAAACTCTTGCTCTGTTATGTTGATATTTGGTAGAAGCTTTAGTTAATAAATACCTTTCTAATCTAGATGAACAACCACTAAATACTTTTGAACGAGAGCAGGAGGCACAAATCGCAAAGAATCATAGGAAGATGGAAGAACCAGGGGAGGTAGTTGAGGGATTTGGTGATACAGATGAAACATACCTTTCTAATCTAGATGAACAACCACTAAATACTTTAGGCACAAATCGCAAAGAATCATAGGAAGATGGAAGAACCAGGGGAGGTAGTTGAGGGATTTGGTGATACAGATGAAACATATTTAGATTTACAAGATGAGCCAGTGGGCCTTGCAGTTGAGGTGCTTGTTCTATCTTGTAATGAGTTCTCGCAGGAGGGGCCAGGGGGGTGCAGATAGCAATGCAATGCTTTAATGTCTGGATACCAATGCAATTTGTACATAATTGCTGCTTAAATTTGTTTCTCCAATTTCAGCGTCCAGTTTGAAGAAGCCGTAGAGGAGGCTCCGCCAGCAGCGCTGATATCAGTCCTAGAGGAAGGCAGTCCAAGAGAGTGAAGTCAACATGACAAGAAGAGTTGACTCTTGGATCTGAGAAGAACAAGCAAAACCGTGCAAAAGTAAAATACCACCAGGCTACAGGATCTCACTCCTATGTTGTACAGCTGCAACCATTTGTAAGTATGGTTGCGTTTTATCGTTACTCTAGCCTTTATATAAACAGAAACTCATGTGCACTATTAATAGAAGCAATAGTGGTAGGAGCCAATTTGGCATCATCATTTAATTTTGAAGTTGCAATTTTGCACCAATCAATATGGTACATGTGCATTGTGCTTATGTAATCCATATATGTAATATAATGTTTACTGCTTGAATTTTGCAGTATGTAATCCATATCAGTATCAGTGTGTTGTGCTTATGTAATCCATATCAATATGAATGTGCGTTACTTGTTTTGAACTAATCTCTTGGGTTTTCAATTAAAATACTCTTCCACTGTGCTTGAATTTCAGGAAGCTATGGAAACTATACGAGTAGAACCTGTTGATGGGCTCGAACCAATGACTAGTGTTGATGTTGTTCCCAATGTCCTTTGCCTCTCCCAGGGCTAGGTCCACTCCTAGGTCAGCGACAACACCCTTATTTTGAAGAATGCTGGTATCCTGACAAGCTCCGCCAGAATACAGACATCGGCGGAGAGAATGCTTCGGGAACGGCTTGTTGCTGAACAGGAAAGTTCCTCTAACCTCGTCGAACAAGTGGATGAACTGAAGAGGAAGATAGAAAAGACTGAAAGGGAGTTTGAGGAGTTCAAGATACAGCAACAGGAGGAGTACAATAAGCTACATGAGGATATCATGCGCTTCAGCTCTTCTTCTGGTAACTCTCGGTCGTCAACTCTGTTAGCTTGATGCAGTGAACATTTGTGGTTTGATGTATGTACTCATGTGCTGGTTTGATGTGGTCAAACTGTCAGTGCGTTGCTGCTGATGTGTAAATAGTATTTTGCTGTGTTTGATTGTCATGCTGAATAATTATGTAGACATTCGTCGAATAATTATGTAGTTAATCTATGCAGCAGTGACGATCTCGAATTACTTTTATGATGAATTGATTATTGAGCACGTGGTAGAATCTGTACAGTCCACGTGATCAAATAAAAATACGACACGTGGACGAACCAGTGCATGACACATGAAATAACCATGGCATGACACGTGGGTTAATAAAAAACCAACATGTGGAAGGAAGTCGCCAAGCCACGTGGCTAAATAAAAAACAAAACATGGACGGATAGTACCATGACACGTGGTCGAATAAGAAACGGCCACATATGACACATGGTCCAATAACAAAGCGACACATGACCAAACCGCAACACGACACTGTACCAATAAAAACTAACATGTGAAACAACAGGGACTCGACACATGGTCCAATAAGAACCTGAAACGTGCAATAACCAGAGATGGCCACATTGTGTAATAAGAAGGTGACACGTACCCGAACCATCTCCAATACAACCGGCTATATCATGTACATGTGGAAAGCATCTCCAATGGAAGCACCCGCCAACGTGGTTGTCCCTTGCCATGCATGCCAAAGCAATTCTATAACGATATGTTTTTCATCATAGATCTATCCACTTCTATGACGAATTTCTAGATTCGTCATAGAAGTTCAAGTATGACGCGACTTTTACGATGAACTTTTTTTGTCATAAATTCATCATAAAACTAAAATTATGAAGAATTTAGCTCCTTCAGTGATGAAAGCAGATCGTCATAGAAGTGGATATTCCTAGTAGTGATTAATTTGGAATAATCTACTGCTGTGAGATTGCATTGATCTTGAAATCCATCTGGTTCGCTATGGGATCAGCACGCACACGTCTACCTGGCGCGCCAACTATTGATGGGATATCGCCGATAGTCCACTGAGGGGTATACCCACTCTGAAGGGGTAGGGGGTTACAAAAAAGTATCTTATTTGGCTATATGGTAGGTATTCTATTTGGATTACAATATCCATAAGAGTGCTAATAAATTGTATCTTCTACCATCTATGGTACTTTGGGGTATATCCCCCACAGGACCTGGCCAGATCAAAGGAGAAGGCAAGTGGGGCCCGGCCCCGGCAGCGGCTCGCGAAGGCGCAGCCCTAGCAGCGCTAGCTAATCCGGTTGTGGGAGACTCTTCCGGCAACGGCGGTTCGTCAATGGGCTCGGCAGGACTCGTGGATGGGCTCGTCGGGCTCGTCGATGAGTTTTTTCTTTTTCTTATTTTTCATTTATTAACGCAGGCGGGTATTTTTTACTGCCTCCATTAATAGCCATTAACCGAGGCGGGCGTCTTAGGACGATATTAACCGAGGCAGTTGCCCTAAGCCGACCACCTCGGTTAATATATTAACCGAGGCGGGCGAACTAACAGCCTCCTTAGGTTTGGATTAAACATGACCTTTGGACATAGGCGGATGGTTTGCCCGCCACTGTTAATCCAAAAGGCCCGCCTCAGTTAAATTTAATGTAGTAGTACAAATCACAAACTTTCATTTTGGTATTTTGGCCCTTATCCAGTCATTGCTAAAGTGGGCAGGGTGGCTTACAAGTTGCTTCTTCATGGTACTAGTTCAGCTCAAGAAATAAAGCTATTCCTTCAACTCTCCAGGTTTCTTCTGAACTTTCTGCTACTATTACAGTTGATGCTTTCAGATTTTCTGTCAAGTTTTACAACATCGTATGAAGCCCCATGGTGATCGTCTGGTATCTCAAGTGTTGATTCAATGGTCTTCTTGGCCCTCTTCGATGGATATGTGGGAACTTGTAGTTGAACTTAAGAAGCAATTTCCAGCAGTACTGACTTGGGGTCAAGCGGGTGAGGGCAGAATGTCAGGCGTCCTGCTGGGCGTATTAGAGAAGCAGAGGATAGCAGGGGGCGAGAAAGAAGAAGGAGCAAGTCCAAGAACAGGCTGTAGACGAAGCTGACCTAGATGCAGACATGAGGACCAAGCAAGTGAAGAAGAAGCCCAATCGGAAGTACTTCGTGCCCAACTGGACGGTGGCATAGGAGAGTTCGCTTCTAAGAGCTAATAACGAGAGAGGAGAGGAAGGTAACGGATACGGAGAACGGAGAGGTGGTGGCCGACTGCGTCCGGTGACAGCGTCGAGAGCTAGTTGCCCCGATCGTGTAACCAGATCAATTTCCTGTTCTAAACATTACCTATACACTAAGAGAAGTGATGGAGTGAAACTAGTGTTGGGTTCGTGACATAGAGATCCACTCTTGCATTAGGAGATTTTTTTATTAGGAGATTTTTTTTTCTGAACATGGAGTAAGAATATCGAATGCACCTGCCGATCTACGATATATATAGTCTAATAACCAATCACGAAACTGGGATGGCGAGGTCGCCTGGAAGTTGCCTGCAGTCCTCCATAGGCGTGACTCACGACTCACGATCCCTATCCACTCACATACGTAATAAACTAGTACAGTACTCCACAAATAACAATCGACAAGGCAGAGAGTCGATCTTGTGATAAGTCACCAAGCTGTGTTCACACGTGATCTTCATGCACTACGGTAGTAGGTCCCTGTGTGTCATCGATTCTTGATCAGAGAAATTAAACTGGAAGTGGTCAGTTAAGATTGAACTGATCCCTTGCCTCGGGCAGGTTAACAAATTAAAACAATGCAAGGTCAGATCTCTACCTAATCAATGGAAGACGATATGTTTAGCGCGATAAATGGATCTGTTCAGGCTCTAGCATCATCTGTCTGTAATATAACAGCATCTTCTTAGTATAATAGATCATTAGATCCAATGCCATGCACGTTGCCACCATCTGCAAGATGCTGATGCCTGATGCCGTGGAGGTGGATCGGAGCTGGCTATTTAAGCGGGCCATGGATGCCCTGCCAGTGCAACCCATGCTTGCATTGATAGAGTCGTTCAGTTCTAATTAACACTAGCCTACCATTTGAACAACAACCTACCTAATCGACCGGGCTCGCCGGCCGGCGACGAGGAGAATGGCAGGACGGTGGACGGTGTTGATGCCTTTGGTGCTGCTTGTGTGGATCGTTTGCTGCAACTGTAAGAGCACTCTCTGTTCTGCTACATCTAGACACATTCCAATTTCCAATGAGAAGTAAAATATATATATATATATATATATTCATAGGGAAATTATATATATTAATTTGTGATCCAATGCAAATCAAGGGGCGCAAGCCGCATCACCGTATCCGTATGGCGCTAACATGACACGGATCTTATGCATCATGTGGAGTTCTTCGACGAGAACAAAGATGGCATTATTACTATTACGGAGAGTATCAAAGGTGCGTGATGATGATATAAACAACTCTATTTCTAATTAACTTTGATTGATGACAATATAATACTCCTATATAAACAACTTTTATTGCGATCGGATGTGACCCTGCCTTCGCATTTACCGCGGCAACCTCGACCCATGCTGCTTTTGGTCCTTTGACAACGCCCGTACGTACTACGCTCATACTACACACCTCTGTTCCTTAATTTGTCCATTGGGTGGTGAATACATGCATGTATGTACCTGGAGTAGTAGTGCTTATTACGGTGCTATACTGCTTGCTTGTTGTAGCCTGGAAAAATACCGACCACTAACATCCATGTGTCCCACATCCACGGAGCAGTGCATCCAAGTGACACGGGTGCCTATGACAAGAGGGGAAAGTACGTATATATAAACACCTACATCGTCTCTGCACTTGTAATTAACATGCATGACTTCATCTTCCTTAGGCTGCCGGTTATATTCATTTTATTTATTATATAATCGGCAGATACATGTTTTAGTAGATCTCTAAACATGTATCTCTACTTCTAATATTTCCGACTATATTAACCGTGTTCCAATTTTTCAGTTTTGTCCCCAAAAATTTCGAGAAGATATTCCAGAAGTTTGCTCGCAGCGAGGAGGACGCCTTGTCGTGGTTGGAGGTAGAGACGATGCTGGTTGCAAACCGGGACTTACTCAAACCTCTCTCATGGTAACTAACTTTTATTGTGCTACCCATAGCATATCTATATTACTCCATTCATTCCAAATTATAAGTCATTCCAAGAACTTTGCAGAGTCAAAGTATCTCAAGTTTGACCAAAATTATAGAGAGAATTACAATAATCTATGACATCAAATATGTATACTATGAAAATAATTAATGAAGAATCTAATGATACTTAGTTGACATCATAAATATTATTATCTTATCATACTTGAGATGGTTTGACTCTTTAAGATTTTTAGAATGACTTATAATTTAGGACGGGGAGTACCTCTCTTTTGCGATGACCTGTCCTTTTCACTTGATGCGTTTGGTTTGCATTCATGAATGCAGGCCGGCAGCTGAGACCGAATGGCAGCTGATCCACTTCCTGGGCAAGGACAGGCACGGGTACCTCCACAAGGACACCGTGAGGGGCATCTATGACGGGAGCGTGTTCCCCAAGCTGCGCGACCACAAGATCGACCCTCACAGCGACGCATGATGATCCATGCATGGATGTCGGTGAGCTCGCCGATCAGTTATGTTATTACCGCCGCCGACTGTGTGTTTGCGTTTTCGCAAGTGATGAAGTGATCAGTGAAGTGTCGTGTGTGCTTGTACAGCAAAATATATTATCATCGGCACTACGTGCACAACCAGTTTAGTTACAACCACTCTCTCTGTGCTTTTTTTTCTTATGGGACCAGCCAGTTTAGTTTACAATTCATGTATCACCGTGCAAGATTGCACTCCCTTTAGGCCTTGTTCGAGTGCGCGTATATTCATCTCAATCCACGTGTATTTAAGTGGGTTTGAGTGAAATTAAACTAAATTCTAATCCACTCCAATACATGTGAATTAAAGTTGATAGTACACGTGCATCCAAACAAGGCCTTACTTGGAATAAAACGACAAGGTGTTTTCAGTCTTTTAGGGTGTGTTTGGTTCGTGGGAAAAATAGAGGTATGGAACGGAATGAGCCTATTTTTCACAGCGTTTGATTGCGGCACAAACTAGGACGAGTCCATGGCCGTCGCCATGTGCCTAGGTCTGAGGTTGTCGGGGGGTGGACCTAGGCGCAAGGCGACAGCCATGGTGTGGACTCATCCTAGTTCGCCCCGCAATCAAATGCTATGAAAAATAGACTCGTTCTGTTTCATATCCCATTGTCCATTGTAGAGCCAAGAGAGGCTATCGATGGTCACTCTCAACTCTGCCCTCTCTAGTGTGGCTCCATGCCACGACTCTGTCACCTCACGCCTAGGTCCGCCCTCGCATGGTCACCCCTCGCAGATCACAGGGAGACGACGACCTCTAGGAGGAGGTAAGGTATGGAGTATGAAAGATGGCCCCATGATTGGTATGTGAAGCCCATACATAACTACCGTTAACGGTGTCAAAAACAATAACCTGTCCCTTCTTTTCGACCCCTATAATAAAAAAAATAGGAACGATCCTATCCCTCTAACTAAACAACAAATTGGGACCATCTCATTCTACTAGTCCCCAAATAATAGAACACATGCTTATTTAACAAGTCAAAATAGGCAACTACTACAATTGTAAGGTGGCATTTGTGAGTGTTACAAGCTCTCTGGCTGCCAACCACTACTAAAAAAAAAGGTTTGTAGCAACGGCTCAATTTTCTTTGTAGGGGCAGCCGGGGATGGAGCTGCCCCTACAGTGAGCTTGCTTGGGACCCATAAGACCAGTTGCCCCTATAAATAACACAATAGGGGCGGCTGGTGATTCGAGCCGCCCCTATAAATGGGTCGATTTGTAGGGGCGGCTCACTCACCAGCCACCCCCGGTATTGAGATTTACAGGGGCAGCTCAATAACCAACCACCCCTACAAATGCTACACGTAAGCAATCAAATAACCCAACAAATAAATACTCGGCTTCAGCTTGTCGTTCCAAAGACTTCTTCTCACCCCTCCGTTCTCTTCTTCGCTTTCTCCCTCCCTCGCTCTCCCGACGCCAACAGGGCGATGGCTGCTGGCGCGCGCGGCACGGTAGCTGCGGCCGCCCCCTCCTCTTCCTCCTCCCCCCTCGCGTCGTCCCGGCCGGCCCCCCACCGCTGGCTCCCCGTGCGAGGCGCTGGTGGCGCGACGGCGCCCCCCGGCCGCTACGCTCGGGAGTGCCGACTACCGTCGTCGATCCCCGGTGAGGTCGCCTCCTCCGAACGCCGCGGCCTTCTCTCCGACCCCTGAGCTGGCACATCGACCTGGGCGGATGGCCCCCGGCGCGGCCACGCCGTCTTAGGGTTTGTCCAAACATCGGCGCGTACGCGCCACCGCCGCAGTGCCCAGTTCTTCGTCGTGCCCTTCACCGGCAACACGCACCTAGGTATGCCGGCCCCTTCGTTTCCGTTCCTGCTGCGCAAAACCGAGCACCTAGGATCTGGTTCATCTTCCCTAGATTTGGTTCATCTTCCCTAGATCAGGTCTATGATTCTTCTGGCATACTCCGCCTTCTACCCTGTGGAGGCGCGTCGAAGTCTCTCCCTCACCGGTTTGGAGGCTCGTTCGCGGCCGCCCCGAGCTCCATCGTCGGGCTCTAGCGCCGCCATGGCCGGCTACGGGGTCTGGTCCCCGCATCTGGGGGCGTGGGGGCCGGTGGTGAAACAGTCCGCATCCTCTATGCTCTCCACGTCTGCCCGCTTCGTCACCGACACCATTGTGTTTGTACGCCTCCTTTCGCTAGCTTTTGCTTGCTAGCAGCTTGTGTGTGTGGTTTGCTCAGCTACTCTGAGGTACTTGTGAGGAGGGGATCGGGCTTGTGGGTTTGGCTTACTTCTCTGTGGCTCTGTGTTTTAGAGCTCAGATCTACTGCCCAAAATGGATGGAGGTGTTGCTTCACCTATTAACTGGCAACATTTCTCCTGTCTGATTTTGCTATGTAGTTGTTTGATTGATTGTTCTAGGATTTGATTTGAGCTCTCCTCTGTGGGCTAACTCTGTTTACTTTGTACTTGCATAAATGAACTCTGCATAAATTGTTGTGATTAAGGTTACATGGTTTGGTTTGTCAACCTCTAATGAGTATTGCAGCTACTGATATATCACAGTATGGTCTAGGTCTTGTAAAAACATCGTCCTATTCATTCATGTACTGTTAGTAGGGTCTGTTTGCAATTCCGTAGTCGGCGTTTTGCTTCTGTCTTCCTCCAATCAGGAATCTCCCAATTTGATTGGTGTCCAGTCTTGCAATAGTTGAAGGGAAGATTCTAGGTAGTGTTTCAGCTTTTGCTTGTATATCTCTTTCACTTCATCTGATATCTACTATGATCAAACAAGCTTTTGCTTATATATCTCTTTCACTTCCTGCATTAACTCTATCCTCTCAACTACTTCTTAATTGCTGAGACCAGCAGGGTGGGTTGAGTTGAGTGGTCAGCCTTCCATAGAAATAGAACGCTTTGGTGTGGGTGCAGTATGGATTTGGGACAATTAGCATGTTTATGCTTGCGATCTCACCTGTTTCAGTTTAACATCTCTTTATAGTTTTTTTTCTATTCTTATTTTTCTACTGAAATTATTTCTGGAAAGCAAAATAGAGATATCATTAATCTTGTGCTAGTACAACAAGTAGCTGAAACATTAGTTGGAGCAGGTCCATCCATTCAGTGGTTGATGTATTGCATTGTGCCCATTCGAGTTACAGCCTTGCAGCTAAAAAAAACTGCAGTATCTTAAACTCATGCTGGTAAAATAAAACATGAAAGTGATGCAAGCTGTTCTTGACAGTAGCTCAGTTTCTTTATAGAAATTTTTCCATGTTAGCTTTATTTGGTGAGTTTATAGTGCAGTTTTTATGATTCCTTACTTAAAACGTCATTTTTCCATTACTGTAGTTGTTTGATTGATTGATTGTTCTAGATCTGGTTTTGCTTGCCGCTTCATGTTAGTTGGAATTAAGGGTTTCAGCATGGCATGCATGCCAAATCTGGTGCATTCAGGTGATTTCCGATCAGATTAATTTTGCCAAATCTTAGTTTTGCCGAACAAGGACATTTCTGATCATGTGCATGTGCATGTTGACCCCATTGAATGACAATGATTTCTTCATGCCATCCAAAAGAAAACAAATACACTGCCTATGAAATTAGTTTGGCCTTGACGATCTGGTGCATGACATTAAATTAACTTGTGGGCTAGTTGCCTAGTTTTATATATTCATAAGTGCTTTCTGTCGTGCCTATCAAAGATAACTTGGCTCCTACCATGACCAAGAGTAACCTATTTTTAGATAATAGAGGTAATCTCTGACCTCTGTGCCAGCTGAGAATGCACAAAGTCATTAATTGTATTGCTCTATGTGTGGTTGCTGTTGTACAACTCAGTGGTCTGTTTATCATAAGATCTGATGTCTATTGTAATTTCCTGATTCATATTATAAACTTTAGCCAATCAATGTCATAGTTACCAACACTAGCTGTTATCAGCTTGCAAGTGACTTGAGGTCTTGAGGTGTAGCCTTTTGGTCTTTGAAAGATTTTAACTAATTGTTGGCATAATTTTGCACATATAAACAGAATGGTTTCTTTGAAACTGTGGTTTATTTATATATATATATATATATATATATATATATATATATATATATATATATATATATATATATATATATATATATATATATATATTCTTTGTGAACTGTGTGAAGTGTTTTATTCATTGTTAAGAGAGACCAAGTACCAAACTCATATTTAGGGTTCTGCTACAGGTTGGATAGCAATGAAGAAAACAAAAGGTGGACATTTTGGGGTACTCATGGTACTTGATTGACAGCCTCGTTTCAGTAACTATTCAGTCTTTCAGTACCAAAGGGAGTAAGTTGCTTTGTCTGTGTCCAAGGCTGTGTTCGGCTGGCTTGTTTCCAGCCAGCTGGCTTATTTTTCCTCTCACAGAATCACTGTTCACGTCCTGCCAAAACAGTATTTTTCTCTCACAACAATCAGCCGGAACAGTATTTTTCAGTCCTGCCGAACACCACCCAAGTCATTAGCTCTTTTGGTAACACAGTTGACATGCTAATTGCATTTTGGACAGGAAATTTTGAAAAGTCCTGTCACCATTGTACTGAACGAAGAAGCCACAGCAAGGAAGGTTCCCTGCTGGCTTGATCCTCAGAGGCCTGAATCACAGCTTCCCGTTGACACTAAAAATTTTAACAAAAGGTGGCCCTGTAAAGTTGATCATAACTAGGCCATTTGTTCTCTCAATTAGCGCTCAGCCCCACATACTTATATGTTTATATACATACTTATAACGTTTATTTAGGTAGAAATCCTCAGAACCAACACCTTGTGCTCTTGTACTTGTGGTCAGATTTGAATTATATATGTTCTGGTCAGATTTAAATTATATATATATATATTCTGATCGAATTTGAATTATAAATTTGAAATTTTTTTTCAAAAAAATGTACTGTAGATGCGGTTCTAGACTGAACCGTCCCTATAAACAGGTATTATAGGCGGCTGGTGTTACCAGCCGC